CCACAAGCCACGTCACCCCCCACCCACCTGACACGCCTCGCTTCGTCATGCGCAGTGGTCACGTGTACCATTTCTAACCGCCACGTCATCCCCAACCCTCACCTTCTGCCACGTCACACCCACTTGCATCCGCCATGTCATCCCCAACCCTCACGTTCCGCCACGTCACACCCTCCTTGTCCGCCACGTCCACCAACCAGCCCCACGTGCCACGTCACACCCTCCTGCATCCGCCACGTCCACCAACAACCAGCCCCACGTGCCACGTCACACCCTCCCACCCCATGCCACGTCACCCCCCACCCACCTGACACGCGTCGCCTCGTCACGCGCCGCTCCCGTGTACCATTCCAAACCGCCACGTCAACCCCAACCCTCACATTCTGCCACGTCACACCCTTTTGCATCCGCCAACAACCCGCCCTACTTGCCACGTCACACCCCCCACCAAGAGCCTCGTCACCCCCCACCCACCTGAAACGCCTCGCGCCGTCATGCGCCGCTCACGTGTACCCTTTTAGGGTGCCACGTCATCCCCAACCCTCACCTTCCGCCACGTCACACCCATATGCATCTGTCATGTCATCCCCCACCCTCACCTTCCGCCACGTCACACCCTCCTGCATCCGCCACGTCCACCAACCAGCCCCAAGTGCCACGTCACATCCTCCTTGTCCGCCACGTCCACCAACCAGCCCCACGTGCCACGTCACACCCTCCTGCATCCGCCACGTCCACCAACAACCAGCCCCACGTGCCACGTCACACCCTCCCACCCCATGCCACGTCACCCCCCACCCACCTGACACGCGTCGCCTCGTCACGCGCCGCTCCCGTGTACCATTCCAAACCGCCACGTCAACCCCAACCCTCACATTCTGCCACGTCACACCCTTTTGCATCCGCCAACAACCCGCCCTACTTGCCACGTCACACCCCCCACCAAGAGCCTCGTCACCCCCCACCCACCTGAAACGCCTCGCGCCGTCATGCGCCGCTCACGTGTACCCTTTTAGGGTGCCACGTCATCCCCAACCCTCACCTTCCGCCACGTCACACCCATATGCATCTGTCATGTCATCCCCCACCCTCACCTTCCGCCACGTCACACCCTCCTGCATCCGCCACGTCCACCAACCAGCCCCAAGTGCCACGTCACACCCTCCTTGTCCGCCACGTCCACCAACCAGCCCCACGTGCCACGTCACACCCTCCTGCATCCGCCACGTCCACCAACAACCAGCCCCACGTGCCACGTCACACCCTCCCACCCCATGCCACGTCACCCCCCACCCACCTGACACGCGTCGCCTCGTCACGCGCCGCTCCCGTGTACCATTCCAAACCGCCACGTCAGCCCCGACCCTCACATTCTGCCACGTCACACCCCCCAGCATCCGCCAACAACCCACCCTACTTGCCATGCTACACCCCCCACCAAGAGCCACGTCACCCCCCACCCACCTGAGACGCCTCGCTTCGTCATGCGCCGCTCACGTGTACCCTTTTAGGGTGCCACGTCATCCCCAACCCTCACCTTCCGCCACGTCACACCCATCTTCATCTGTCACGTCATCCCCCACCCTCACCTTCCGCCACGTCACACCCTTCTGCATCCGCCACGTCCACCAACCAGCCCCAAGTGCCACGTCACACCCTCCTTGTCCGCCACGTCCACCAACCAGCCCCACGTGCCACGTCACACCCTCCTGCATCCGCCACGTCCACCAACAACCAGCCCCACGTGCCACGTCACACCCTCCCACCCCATGCCACGTCACCCCCCACCCACCTGACACGCGTCGCCTCGTCACGCGCCGCTCCCGTGTACCATTCCAAACCGCCACGTCAGCCCCGACCCTCACATTCTGCCACGTCACACCCCCCAGCATCCGCCAACAACCCGCCCTACTTGCCATGTTACACCCCCCACCAAGAGCCACGTCACCCCCCACCCACCTGAGACGCCTCGCTTCGTCATGCGCCGCTCACGTGTACCCTTTTAGGGTGCCACGTCATCCCCAACCCTCACCTTCCGCCACGTCACACCCATCTGCATCTGTCACGTCATCCCCCACCCTCACCTTCCGCCGCGTCACACCCTTCTGCATCCGCCACGTCCACCAACCAGCCCCAAGTGCCACGTCACACCCTCCTTGTCCGCCACGTCCACCAACAACCAGCCCCACGTGCCACGTCACACCCTCCCACCCCATGCCACGTCACCCCCCACCCACCTGACACGCGTCGCCTCGTCACGCGCCGCTCCCGTGTACCATTCCAAACCGCCACGTCAACCCCAACCCTCACATTCTGCCACGTCACACCCTTTTGCATCCGCCAACAACCCGCCCTACTTGCCACGTCACACCCCCCACCAAGAGCCTCGTCACCCCCCACCCACCTGAAACGCCTCGCGCCGTCATGCGCCGCTCACGTGTACCCTTTTAGGGTGCCACGTCATCCCCAACCCTCACCTTCCGCCACGTCACACCCATCTGCATCTGTCACGTCATCCCCCACCCTCACCTTCCGCCACGTCACACCCTTCTGCATCCGCCACGTCCACCAACCAGCCCCAAGTGCCACGTCACACCCTCCTTGTCCGCCACGTCCACCAACCAGCCCCACGTGCCACGTCACACCCTCCTGCATCCGCCACGTCCACCAACAACCAGCCCCACGTGCCACGTCACACCCTCCCACCCCATGCCACGTCACCCCCCACCCACCTGACACGCGTCGCCTCGTCACGCGCCGCTCCCGTGTACCATTCCAAACCGCCACGTCAGCCCCGACCCTCACATTCTGCCACGTCACACCCCCCAGCATCCGCCAACAACCCGCCCTACTTGCCATGTTACACCCCCCACCAAGAGCCACGTCACCCCCCACCCACCTGAGACGCCTCGCTTCGTCATGCGCCGCTCACGTGTACCCTTTTAGGGTGCCACGTCATCCCCAACCCTCACCTTCCGCCACGTCACACCCATCTGCATCTGTCACGTCATCCCCCACCCTCACCTTCCGCCACGTCACACCCTTCTGCATCCGCCACGTCCACCAACCAGCCCCAGGTGCCACGTCACACCCTCCTGCATCCGCCACGTCCACCAACAACCAGCCCCACGTGCCACGTCACACCCTCCCACCCCATGCCACGTCACCCCCCACCCACCTGACACGCGTCGCCTCGTCACGCGCCGCTCCCGTGTACCATTCCAAACCGCCACGTCAGCCCCAACCCCCACATTCTGCCACGTCACACCCCCCAGCATCCGCCAACAACCCGCCCTACTTGCCACGTCACACCCCCCACCAAGAGCCTCGTCACCCCCCACCCACCTGAAACGCCTCGCGCCGTCATGCGGCACTCCCTTGCACCCTTTCACACTGCCACGTCATATCCCAACCCTCACCTTTTGCCACGTCACACCCAACCCGCATCCGCCATGTCCACCAACAACCCGCGCCACTTGCCACGTCACACCCACCCACCCCATGCCACGTCACCCCCCACCCACCTGATACGCGTCGCCTCGTCACGCGCCGCTCCCGTGTTCCCTTCGAAACCGCCACGTCAGCCCCAACCCCGCCCTTGTTGCCACGTCAACCCCAACCCTCCCCATGTGGCTCGCCACATACCGGGAATGGGTTTGTCTCTTGCAACACTAGCACTCGTGCCTTGTCCACGGCACTCATCGGCGGCGGGGTACCAGCCATAGGCAGGGCTGCCGACCCGCCGGCATAGCTGGCAGGTACTCCACGACGCAGGCCGAGCTGTGCAAACATGGCGTACATCTCAGACCGCAGCGCCTGGAACTCCTCCCGTGTAACAAAATGCTCGTGCTCCGCACTTTCACCTAGGGCACCCATGAGCGGAGGAAAAGGGTGTGAAGAATCCCCCCTCTAGCCAAGGGGATCAACGTCTTCTGCAGCAGTCCCGTGTGCCCTCACACTATCACGCTGGCGGGAAAAGGGGAGCTCAGGGAAGGAATTGGCATAACTGCCTGCCTGATGCCCGCGTGAAGGATCGGCGAGAGGGGAGACCGCCCTGCCCCGGACAGGAGAAGCGTGGAGTTGCCGAAATTGGTACGAGGGTGAGGCGAGTGGGGACTGCGTGACGGGGGCGGGTGGAGGGGATTCGGATTCCTCTCCTCTTGGCGCGCCTGGTGCCGTCGCAGCGACTATGCTCGGGCCGGCCCATGGCGTGTAGTACCTTGGTGCTCTGGAGGAGAGCGGTGTAACACTCGCTCTTCCGGCAGCCTTCGTTAGATGCATTGGTTGCACGCTTACGGGCGGCCCAATGCCTGGAACGCGAGGGGCTGAGATGTAGAGGGAGCCGGAAAAAAAAAATTAGAGTCGATCGGTTTCAAGGCGGGGCCAGACATGCATGCATATTCAGAAAGGTTTGAATCTAGATCGGGTTCAGGGTTGTACTGGTTTGAGACAAGAGGGTTTACCTTGCTTGGCAGATTCGTCGACCTTCTCCTTCCCTGCATGGGAGAAACAATGTGAAAAGGGTGTTTTTTGGCACGGTTTAGCAGATGGTTCAACACGTCACGCCAATTTTATTGGACACAATGCTCACCTTTCTGCTGTCCCTTCGGTTTTGGGGCAGCCTGCGCCTTCTCGTTGCCACCTTTCCGCGGGGTGCTTTGGCGGACGCTGCGACGTTTACCGGCAGGTTCTTTCTAGCTGGTACCCACTGGAACCCCTTTGGCGCGGCCACCCTTTCCTCCTCCATCCCCTTTTGCTCCCTGGCTCCCTTGCTTTTTACCAACCCCTTCACTTTCGACCTTCACCTTACGCGCCTTCGGTTTGCCCGATGCTTCGCCACGCGCAACGTCAACTGCCCCGCGTTTTCGGGAAGGGCAAGTCTGCCCCCCCTCCTTCCCTGTACCACTCACCCGTCTGCCACGCCCGCCCCGTCCCTTCAATGGCGCCACATCCTCCTCCTCCTCCTCCTCCTCCTCCTCCTCCTCCTCCTCCTCCTCCTCCTACTCCTCCTCCTCCTCCTCCTCCTCCTCCTCCTCCTCCTCCTCCTCCTCCTCCTCCTCCTCCTCCTCCTCATCCACATCCTCCTCCTTGTCGTCACCCTGCTCCTCCTCCTCCTCCTCCTCCTCCTCCTCCTCCTCCTCCTCCTCCTCCTCCTCCTCCTCCTCCTCCTCTGCCTCCTCCTCCTCCTCCTCCTCCTCCTCCTCCTCCTCCTCCTCCTCCTCCTCCTCCTCCTCCTCCTCTGCCTCCTCCTCCTCCTCCTCCTCCTCCTCCTCCTCCTCCTCCTCCTCCTCCTCCTCCTCCTCCTCCTCCTCTTCGTCCTCCCCGCCATCATTCTCATCTTTTTCATCCTCCCCAACATCCGCGTCATCCTCCTCCGCTTCCTCTTCATCCTCCTCTCCCTCCGCATCCTCCTCCTCATCCTCCTCCTCCTCCGCATCACCGGGGTCTTCATGGCCAGTTCAGATGCAGGAGTACATATATATATATATATATATATATATAAGGCTAGACAAGCAAGAGCAAGCGTATATATATGTAACAGTACAAGCAAGGTCAAGAGGTGAGCAAGTGAGGCAAGACAGGCACAAGACTCAGCTGAGTATAGAAGCGCTGATGATCATAAGGCGCAAGTGCCTTGGTGAAGATATCAGCAGTGTTGGCCTTAGAGGCCACGTACGCAAAACGCAGCTGACCACGCTGCTGTAGCTCACGAGCAAGGAAGTAGCAAAGAGCAATGTGCTTCGTTCTGTGCTCCAGTCTCAGCTCTCGACACAAGGCCAGCATGGCCTTGTTGTCTACGTACAGCACTGGAGGAGAACGAGGCGGCTCTCCGAGGTCAGTCAGCAGGTAGGTGAGCCAGCGAAGCTCCAGTGCAGCCATGGCCCCGGCGTAGATCTCAGCCTCACAACTGGAGCCGAGAACAGAAGACGAGCGGGTAGCCCGCCACGAAACAGAGCCGGAACCGAGGCTGAAGGTGTAACCCTGTGACGACCGCTGCGTAGCCTGGTCGTCAGCCCAAGAAGCGTCTGCGTGCCCAGTGAGGGCCACTGGACTCTGCCTTCCAAGCACAAGCCCCATGCCCGACGTACTGCACAAGTAGCGCAACACCCTCTTCGCTGCAGCCATGTGCTCTTGTCGGTGTCTCCCAGGAGCAACATAGCGTGCCAAGATGCTAAGAGGATATGCAAGGTCAGGTCGTGTGCAGGTCATCAGGTACATGAGGCAGCCAACAAGCTCTGGGTACGGGCCACTCGACTCTACGGACTCATCCGAAGGCAGAGCTGAGAGCGAGTGGCAAGTAGGCAGAGGAGTGGCCTGAGGCGAGGAGTACGTGAAGCCGAAGCGCTGAAGGACCTGCTGCACCATGTGTGACTGAGTCAGGGTAATGGTGCGGCGTGCTCTGTCCCGGGTGATCTGCAAGCCAAGGTAGCTGCGCAGTTCACCCAGGTCTGTGCACGTGTGTCTCTTCTGCAGCTCGGACTTCACGTGGGCGAGTCCAGTAGTGTCAGCTGTGGCAAAGACCAAGTCGTCGACGTACACGAGGATGTAGAACGACGGCAAAGAAGTGTCGGTGCGCAAAAACAGCGACGGGTCGGCAGTAGAGGGAGCAAACCCAAGAGCCGCAAGCGTAGTCCTCAGTGTGTCGTGCCACTCACTTGGTGCCTCGCGAAGACCGTAGACTGGCCGCCGGAGGCTCCACTGGGTGCCAGGAGGAAAAGACGTAGGTGCACGGACCAGTATCCCCACCCCGCTGGCGTGCAGCGTACCACTCACGGAGCTGCTGAGGGGGGGGGATGTCACGAGTGCGCTGCTGCTGCTGGCGCTGACCACCACCGGAGCGGACCCTCTGCGCAGCGCCACCCCGACCAGCTCCACCTCCTCCGCCACCGCCTCCTCCACCGCCGCCACCTCCGCCACCTCCGCTCCCACCGCCATCGCCGCCGCCTCCGCCTCCACTGCCGCCACCGACACCTCCACCCCCGCCACCACCCCCACTGCCACCCCCACTCCCTCCGCCGCCTCCACCGCCGCCTCCACCGCTCCCGCTAGTGCCTGCAGCGCCCCTGCCCTCCTTGCCCTTGCCAGGGCGGCGTCTCCCGCTAGGGGTAGACGCCGCACCGACTGACTCAAGCCCAACGAGGTCGGCCGCAGCAGCAGAGGCAACAGAGGGCAAAAGGGGGGAGGGGGAACACCCCTCAAAGATGGGGGTGCGAGGGTCACCACGAGAGGCTCCTACAGCGACTATGCTCTTCTCCACTGCTAGGAGGGCCTTCTCGAGGAGGTCATCGGTGAGGGTGGTGGGGCAAACTGAGAGGAACTGGTCCCTGACTACGCGAAGGGAGTCAGGGAGGCGGGTGACTATGTAGTAGAGAGTGATGTACATGGGGGGGGGGGGTTCTTGGCGCAGAACTCAGCAGGAAGCGCAGCGCGGTAGCGAGTGTCACTAGTGCGGAGGTGCGTAATGAGGTCAGCGACTGTGGGAAAGGCAGCAAGGTCAGGGAAGAGGTACGGTAGCATGAGGCGGCTCAGTGCAGCAGTGGCAGGGGAGGAGTAGCGTGCAACTACAGCGTCGTACAAGGTCTGAGCACTCTTGTACTGGCTAAAGTGCGCACGCTCAGAGGTAGGCAGGTGGCGACGCACAGCAAGACGTGCAGCAGCATCGCGTGTGGCCCACTGTGAGCGAACAGTGGCGTCAGCATCAGTAGCAGGGGCAGGAGAGGCACCAGAGGTGAGGTCAAAGAGGGAGAGACCGTCTGCCCTATCGCACTGTAGGAAAAGCTGCAGGTCATCTACCCAGACATCAAAGTCAATGGCCCGACCCTCAGCGTCAAAAGCGAGGACACTAGGGGTAGCCATGACAGCAGTAGACTAGTAGCGCGAACAGTGGGGTAAGGGCAGTGCAGTGACAGAGGCGCTGCTCTTACCGGACAGGGCGGCTCGGGCGGCTTGGCGGCTCGGCAGCTCGGTAGGAAATGCAGCTCGGCGGCTCGGCAGGAACTGCAGCTCGGCGGCTTGGCTATTCTGCGGCTCGGGCGGCTCGGGCGGCTTGGGCGGCTCAGGCGTCTCGGGCATCTTGGGCGGCTCGGCGGGACGGCGGCTCGGGCGGCTCGGGCGGCTCAGGCGGCTCGGGCGGCTCAGGTGGCGCTGTGGCTCGGGCGGCTCGGGTGGCGCTGGCGGCTCGGCAGCAGCTCGGCAGGGCCGCGTGAAGGCGAGGTCGGGGCCAGGAAGGGCGTGCGATGGGACCAGCAGGGGCTGGGCCGCGGCCGGGAAGGGGCGGCGCCGGGGCCGTAGGGTAGGCGACGGGGCCAGCAGAGATTGGGCCGGGTCGGGAAGGGCGGCGTCGGGGCCGAGAAAGGGCGGCGCCTGAGCCGGGAAGGGCAGAGACGGGGCCAGCTGGGGCGGGGCCGGGTCGCGAAGGGCGGCATCGGGGCCGGGAAGGGTAGCGCCGGGGCCGCAAGGAGGCGACGGGGCCGCAGGTAGGCGACGGGGCCGCAGGTAGGCGACGGGGTCGCAGGTAGGCGACGGGGCCGCAGGTAGGCGTCGGTGCCGCAGGTAGGCGACGGGGCCAGCAAGGGCGGGGCCGGGTTGGGAAGGGCGGCGCGAGGGCCGCGGGGTAGGCGACGGGGCCGAAAGGGCGGCGAATCGGGGCCGGGAAGGGCGGCTCAAGGGCCGCGGGGTAGGCGATGGGGCCGCTAGGGCGGCGGATCGGGGCCGTCAAGGGCGGCGCGGCACAGCCGCTAGGGCGGCGCAACACAGTGAAAAAAGGGGGAGCGCGACTCGGGCAAGGGTTGAGCGCGCTGCGGGCAGGAAAAAAATCGAATCGGTGGGTTTTAAGAACAGTTCCCATGAGGGAACCTGCTCGATACCATGAGAAAACTGAAACGAGAAGGAATGAACTATGAAAGAGTTGGGTACAAGTACTAACCCTAATTGGGTTGTACCCCTTATGGGCTACCCCACTATAGCCTACACAATATGCATAAGCTATAATGTTCTGACACACCCCCATAGGCAAAGTGGGGGAGAACAAGGGGTCACAAGACCAGTCAAGCAAAGCAAAGCAAAGCAAGCTCAGGGTGGATCACAAAGTCACCACACATTCCGAGCACAAGTTCAAGGCCACAAGGCCAGTTCACATGCAGGAGTACATATATATAAAAGGCTAGACAAGCAAGAGCAGGTGTATATATATATATGTAACAGTACAAGCAAGGTCAAGAGGTGAGCAAGTGAGGCAAGGTGGGCACAAGGCCCAGAAGATATCAGCAGTGTTGGCCTCAGAGGCCACGTACGCAAGACGCAGCTGACCACGCTGCTGCAGCTCACGAGCAAGAAAGTAGCGGAGAGCAATATGCTTCGTTCTGTGCTCCAGTCGCTGCTCCCGACACAAGGCCAGCATGGCCTTGTTGTCTACGTACAGCACTAGAGGAGAACGAGGCGGCTCTCCAAGGTCAGTCAGTAGGTAGGTGAGCCAGCGAAGCTCCTGTGCAGCCATGGCTCCTCCGTAGATCTCAGCCTCACAACTGGAGCCGAGAACAGAAGACCAGCGAGTAGCCCGCCACGAAACAGAGCAGGAACCAAGGCTGAAGGTGCAACCCTATGACGACCGCTGCGTAGCCTGGTCGTCAGCCCAAGAAGCATCTGCGTGCCCAGTGAGGACCACTGGACTCTGCCCTCCAAGCACAAGCCCCATGCCCGACGTACTGCACAAGTAGCGCAACACCCTCTTCTCTGCAGCCATGTGCTCCGGTCTGTGTCTCCCAGGAGCAACATAGCGTGCGAGAATGCTAAGAGGGTATGCGAGGTCAGGTCGTGTGCAGGTCATCAGGTACATGAGGCAGCCAACAAGCTCTGGGTACGGGCCACTCGACTCTACGGACTCATCCAAAGGCAGAGCTGAGAGCGAGTGGCGAGTAGGCAGAGGAGTGGCCTGAGGCGAGGAGTACGTGAAGCCGAAGCGCTGAAGGACCTGCTGCACCATGTGTGATTGAGTCAGGGTAATGGTGCGGCGTGCTCTGTCCCGGGTGATCTGCAAGCCAAGGTAGCTGCGCAGTTCACCCAGGTCTGTGCACGTGTGTCTCTTCTGCAGCTTGGACTTCACGTGGGCGAGTCCAGTAGTGTCAGCAGTGGCAAAGACCAAGTCGTCGACGTACACGAGGATGTAGAACGGCGGCAAAGAGGTGTCGGTGCGCAGAAACAGCGACGGGTCGGCAGTAGAGGGAGCAAACCCAAGAGCCGCAAGCGTAGTCCTCAGTGTGTCGTGCCACTCACGCGGTGCCTGGCGGAGACCGTAGACTGGCCGCCGGAGGCTCCACTGGGTGCCGGAAGGAAAAGTCCCAATGAAGCCAGGTGGACGGCGCAGCCAGATCTCCTCGTGCAGGCTACCCTGCAAGAAAGCAGTGCTGAAGTCAAGAGAGTGAAGCTCGTAGTTTCGCTGAGCGGCTGTGTGCAGCAGCACCCGAAGAGTGGTCATCTTCGGGGTGGGGGAGAAGGTCTGAAAGTAGTCAACTCCCTGCCGCTGACTGAAGCCACGAGCCACGTACCGCGCCTTGAAGACAGGTGGAGAACCTGGCGGCCGCTTCACCCTGAAGATCCACATGCCTATGACGATGTTCGCCCCAGGTGGGGGAACCGCGTCAACGTAGGTGCCTGTGGACTTCCAGGAAGCCATCTTTGCATCCATAGCTGCCTGCCACTAAGGAGTAACGACCCTCTACGGCCTCCGCGTAAGAGCGCGGAGTCGAGATGTCAAGTGCATCCGGGTCTCCCTCAGGGGTAAGCAGTACGGACACAAGATGAGGTGAAGCAGCAGCCAGACACTAGAACTCCTCCTGCCTGACCTCAAGGACGTCCGTGCCAAGAGCACACTCACCCCCGACGGACGGAGGACAGACAGACTCAGAATCAGCGACAAGACTAGCAGTGTAGTCTAGATGACAGCGAGCAGCAAAGTCGACGAGCTCAGCAACTAGGGCAGACGCAACACTGGACTCAAAAGAAGGGTCAGTGACGACAGTAGCAAGGACACGCGTGACGGTAGGACTGGCAGCACGAAGAGAGTCCGACTCCGGGTCGGCAAGAGCAGGAAGAGAAGACTCAGGAGGAGAAGGCAAAGGGGCACGCTTCGGAGAAGTGGACGGACGCAGGGACATCCGGTGCGTGCCAGGGACAAGAGGAGGACGCTGACGCGAACCGCGACCACTAGTGCGAGCAGCACGGACAGGCGACGCAGGGTGAGACGCAGGCTCATGACGCTCAGAAAGACCTTTAGTAGGACCAGTGTTGGGAGACGGAGCAGGTAGTGGGGAGGCCGGCTGTAACTATAACTGTGACGGGACAGGCTGTGGACACTCTAAGGGAGGAGGAGGACCAGTAGAAGACGGGAGACCAAGAACCTGCTGAAGAAGCGGAACGAAGTACGGCCGAGGCCGCGCGGCGACTCCAGACACAGCAGGGACAGCACCAGCACCCCCAGTGGCAGCACCAGTACCAGTAGAAGCTCCAGCTCCAGTACCTCCAGCAGCACCAGTAGTACCCCCAGCAGGACCGCCTCCAGGACCTACAGCAGTAGCCTCCGCGCCAACACCTGCCGCAGCTCCAGCTCCAGAAGTACCCGCAGGCCCAGCAGCTCCAGTACTCCCAGTACGAGCACCTCCGGGACCCGTGGCACCAGCTCCCTCAGTAGCAACAGAACCTCCACTACCCGCAGCACCTCCAGCTCCAGCAGCTCGCCTCCAGCGCCGGGCAAACCACTCACGCAGCTCCTGTGGAGAGAGTGGCTTCTGGCGAGACGAAGCACCCGTAGAACCGCCCGGCACAGCACCAGCAGGCCCAGCTCCCTCAGGCTCCGCACCCCCAGGCTCAGCACCTCCAGGCGTAGCACCCCCAGGCTCAGCACCCCCAGGCTCAGCACCCCCAGGCGTAGCACCCCAAGG